TCCCAGCCAACAGCCTAAGCAGACATTCAAATCAACAAAAATATGGCATCTAAGAATGAGTGAAGTTATAGAGAATATACTTTCGATATCCTGCATTCACGCAAAATGTTAATCCATGCCCGCATCATACATGCAAATGCAAAACGAAGCATGAGTACATGCACATGTACAGCCTCACGTGAACATGGACCATAGCAGAAGAGACTGGGCTATATTGCTTACAAATCTGTTCTTAATTTCACCCAAAGGGAGTTAAATATTGTTTCGGTGTTTGTGTGTGTGTGTGTGTGTGTGTGTGTGTGTGTGTGTGTGTGTGTGTGTGTGTGTGTGTGTGTGTGATCTATTCACAAAGTAATGAGGAGAAAGTGCATCTGTCATATAGTTATTGTCTTTTTCTTTGTGGATTCAAATTAATGCTGAAATCAAGATTAGAAAAACAAATACAAAAGTGTCATCTCCCTACCCCCAAGAGTCGTGGGCAGTGTGATCTTATTCGCATAATTTCCGGTGTTGGAGGCAGATCTCTTAGCCCGGTGATGCACTTCAGCTCCGTACAGAAAGGTGGCGCTTTTGTCACGCCCCTCGCGACCGTCGGGGCTCTGCTGACTGACCTGTCAGATACACCTAATTAACTCTGTATAGATTAGATGGCAGTGTCGGTGCGTGGTTAGAAAACCTGCCTGTCTGTGAAGGTTAAGTCTCGTTCGACAGGACGAGGGGTTGGCGACGGTCCAACTCAGCCTACCGTGCATTTTGAACCCGTCTATCGGGCCTGCAGTTCCAGGCTAAGGGCCGCGGGGGACACATTTTCTACTGATTTCACACGCGTACACTCATGAATAGTTATCTTACTGCGTGTCAGGGCGTTATTATAATCTTCTGAAGTTAGATTTGACATGTTAAGGTGCACAATGCAGATATGTACAAGACTGTGTCGTAATTAATTCTAAGTTAAGCGCTATCCACATATTAGATAACGCCGTGTTTCTCTTTGTAAATGTGTCTTTATCGGCGTCATTACATAAATACTTGTAAAAGTGAAATAAAGCTAGAATCATGCAAAGCTTTAAGAACTTGTGGACTTATAACAGTTTAGTAGCACCAGAACATTTATTTTAACCTTGGTTGTTTTCTCGGAGTTGGGGGGAAACAATCGAGAAGGAAACTGCGTACATTCCATTTCCTCCACAGGTATTGATCTTATCTGGCCTTTTTTGCGTAAGCACAAAAATACGATAGAAATGTTCAGTAACACAATCTGCTCCCGATTAAATTCATTGCAATATGTCATGCAATGTCCTAACCTACCACGCAGGGCCATTGGGCTGAAAATATAACTGCTAGGAGTTCGTCGTATACTGACAAAAGTGTAAAATGCGCCACATGTAAACATGCGACATACCTGCACGTCAAGGTGTTCCTTCCATTGTTCTATCTTCTGCAGCTGGGATTTCAGCTGCGCATTCGTTTCCTTCAGGTGCGTCTCCTTTTCTTTCAGGTGCGACAGCTGGGCTTCCATTTTACTGAGGTCTGCCCCCTGCTTCACAAGTACGAACATGGTGGCGAAGCTCACAATCACGGCTGTAGCAGCCACGATCAGAGATCCGACTATCGCCAGCCCGGTGTGACTTCGCTTGTCACGCCCGTAGGTCGTCTCGTACAGTTTTTCGGAGCCCATTCTTAGATATTAATATTCCCGCTCCAAAAAGTAAATATTCGCCGATGTACAGACAGTCCCAACCTGTACAATTATCTACCTGCGACTGACTGAATTAGATCATTATCACTTGACTTGATTTGAACCCAGTTCTGTTCTCTCATTGGTTGTAAATTCCCATTAACTCATACGTCAGTCTTATTTGGACACTCGGAGCTCATCGGAGACCTTCGGATCTGAACCGAAGTTTGCCGAATGGGGCCGATTCGTGCCCGATGATTCCCGATTGCCACTATCATGTCGCTCGGCACAGGGAAGGAATACCGATGTAATTGGTGCCTGAGGGCCGGTTTGTCGGATTGTTATCGGGAAAAAGATATCGCTTTAAACAACTTAAATCCCTTAGTTTGTGAATAAATTCTTAACGATACGATGAAGAGGTATCCTTCTAAAGAATAGAAGTAGATTGTGTGGTTCCTGCAAACAGGTTTTGTAGTTTGGTTTTTGCTCTTATTCTGTCAACAATACTGGGGTCACTGGAGCCAACAAGAGGTCGTGTTTTGTCTGTTTATGTTACAGACGGAGTTTCAGCACTGTACGATGATCTTGGTAAATATTATGAAGAAGGAATGCCAAATGTAAGCTAACACACTGGCTACAAAATATTATAATAACCTGACATGAAAAAATCTTGCATAAATCATGCAGGGCATAATGTAGTCTTAAAAAGAGCAAGACGAAGGTTATTGACCTACATGTACAACAGCTACAGTATCTGATGAGTGGACGTGACGGTTTTGCCCATGTTCACATTTTAAACGAAATTGTCCTATCCGTCGGTATGGTCGAGCACAGCAATCGACAATATGAAACAAAATGTTGAATGTATTCAAAACCATATTCCACAATTTCTTAACCTAACAATAAGGAGTATATTTTAAACTACATGACGTCACGTCCATGGTAGCTGGGAGAACATCGGTGACCGTCGGCTCGTGCCCGACAGGTGACGAGTACAAACCGAAGTTGTCCGAATGGGCCCGATGATTTCCGACTGCCTTGCCGAACAACAAAAATAATTAGCTTGTCACTTGCCTGGGGCTCAGTTTGTCCTCTGATCTTTACAACTCAAAACTATCGTATTTATCACCCAAATCGCTTCCCTTTCCTAGATACTGGTTTGTTCCTTTTGACGCTGATAATAAAAGATGCGAAGTATGGAAACGGACACTGTAGTTTGGTTTTTGAGCACATCATGTGAACAACTGAAGCTGCCCTGACTTTTGAACCCTGAGGTCAGGGAGGACCGGTTTTAGAGACGCAAACTTAGGCGTGTTAGACCATTCTGTTTATACAGAAATTACTGATGCATGAAATGGCCCCAAAATACAAATTCAGCGTTTTACTGGCTCACGATACGGTGAAACATATCTAAAACCTATGATATGAGCAAAACACAGAAGCATGTCATCCATATGATCAAGTCAGTGGCGTAGTGAATTGTTAAATCCTTCGTAGCGTGTGTAGCACCTAACATCGTGATCCACGGTGCCTTTAGAACTAGGATTCTTCTTAACTGTATCTTTTTTGGTTCTACTCTTGGCCGAACACGTCCAAGGTACATTTTCAGACATTTATACTTCAATGACTTTTGTATAAACACACCGCGCTGAACCAGTACAAAGTCGGTAACGATGGGCCCAAATTAACCCCTCAGGCTGGAACAATCAGCCGCTCACTGCGCGTCTAAAACCGGTTTTACTCTCCGAGCAGAGGTTTGGGGTTTGGGGATATTTTTGGCGTGATTTTAGCCTTTTTTGTATCGAGGTTTCTTTTTTGCACTGTCTGGATGTGTGATAATCCACCACAGTAAAATGGATATCCCTGATGATAATTTGATGGTTCCCAGGGAGGAGCACTGCCCCATTTCTTGAAAAGTTTTGCCCCGCCTTGGGGTGAGTGCGGGCAGAGGTTGAGTTGGGTGAAAAAAAGAATTCCAGTGCAAAAAAGAAACCCCGATTTTTTAAAAAAAAAGCTAAAAACACACCAAAAATAACCCCAACCCCAACCTCTGCTTGGAGAGTAAAACCGGTCGGCCCTGACCCGAAGGGATATGCTCACAGGTCAGAGAGGACTGGCAACTACTGTCTTATAGTAGTGTTGTCATGATAAGAGCTAGAAGTAGTATTAGCTACAGTAGTATTAGCTTCTAGATATGGCAACAAAAAATTAAAAATCACATTGAGACAAAACTACTGAGGTTTAGTTGGTGAAATAGTGATCCTTTTCAAGATTGGAGGTAAAACTGAACCGCAGGCATTAGTAGCACTATCTACACTTGTGTTCACATATTCTACCCAGTGATTGTCTCAACTGTAATCAATATTGAGCTCATTGTCCTGATCGGTTTGCACTCGTTGTCTATCGGGCACGAGCCGACGGTCTCTGATGGTCTTGACTTCAGTTTTTCGTCCAAGCCGTAAGTTGTAGTAGGACTAAATACGTCACTTCTGCTCAAGAACTGCAGAAGACAAATCTGAGGTCAACAACCTTCACAAGGACAAGCCACGGTTCTGCCTTTTGCTTTTTTATTTTGTCGCTCTTTTATATAAATCTAGTCTAAACGTATTTAAGTATTGTAGATTCCTTCCCTCTATTACCAGGCCAAACCCATTTTGTTTTGCATTTTGTCCCCGTAAGCTTTTAATGTCATTTAACAAATAAACCAATCTATATACTTGACTGATATTTGTTACACGGCATTTTAAACCAAATCTAGATCCTTCTCACTGTTCTCTCCACATACTGTTTCCAAAGATAATCTCACAGATATGAAACTGTTTGTTACAACATGTCTGTTAAATACTAAGGTAACAAAACACGACCTCTTGTTGGCTCCAGTGACCCAAGCAATTGTTGACAGAATAAGAGCCAAAATTTAACTACAGAATCTGCTTCCAGAAATCAAATGTTCTACTTCTATCTTTGAGAAGGACACCTCTTCATCGTATCTTTAAAAACTTCAATCCACAAACTAAGTGATTTGAGTTGTTTAAAATGATATCTTTTAGTAAAGACAATCCGGCCCTCAGGCATCAATTACATCGGTATTCCTTCCTTGTGCCGAGCGACATGACGATGGCAATCGGGAATCATCGGGCACGAATCGCCCCCATTCGCCAACCTTCGGTTCGGACCCGAAGGTCTCCGATGAGCTCCGAATCTCCGGGTATGGCTAAAAATAGGAATGACGTATGAGGAAAAGGTGTTTCTAACCAATGAGAGAACAGAACTGGCTTTAAAGTGACATCATCTCTTTTAAGTCAGTTAGTCGCGGAGAGAACTTCGTGTAGGTTTGGCCTGCACGTAGAGAGCCGCGCATTTACTTTCTTTCGGGCGGAAATATCTAAGAATGGGCTCCGAAAAGCTGAACGAGACAACTTACGGGCGGGATAAGCGAAGCCACACCGGGCTGGCGATAGTTGGATCTCTGATAGTAGCCGCGGTTGCCGTTAGTGTGAGCTTCGTCACCATGTTCGTACTGGTGAGGCAGGGGGCGGAACTGGGCGAAACAAAGTCAACGCTCTCGCGCTTTAAGGAAATGGAAGCCCAACTGTCGCACCTGAAGGAAACGGAAGCCCAGCTGTCGCACCTGAAGGAAATGGAAGCCCAGTTGTCGCACCTGAAGGAAACGGAAACACACCTGAAGGAAATGGAAGCCCAGATGCAGGAGATGCGCCAGTGGAGAGAACACCTTGACGTGCAGGTAAGTCCACCAAACACTAGACAGTCTTGTCTAGGACAGGCTTTTAATAGTTCGCAACAAACGTACGTCTACGAGTTACATTTTTGGCCCAATGGTTCCGGGTGTTGGCTTTTGTTAGTACGGTTAAAGAAATATTCCAATGCCTTTGATCGTATGTAGATTGTGTTATGTAGCATTTCTATCCGTACTTTTTGTCTGGACGCTGTGAAAAGCTCATCAAAATGTCATAAGCTGACGCGTTGTCTGCGAAGGTAATGAACTGTAATCGGGTTCCTGGTCGACTCGTCACCTCAGATGCCCCGCTCGAGAACAGACCACGCTTAAAACAAGATGTAGCTCTTCTGATTATGAGTTGTCATGCGTTTACCTTTTCTTTAAAGATTATTTGAGCTTTATCCAATTCTTAAAAGTTTTGAGTTATTATCAAAGGAACAATTGATGGAGAAAAACGAATTAACGCTGTAATGTAGGTTGAGCATATAACTTTGAGAAATGATGATGGCGCCTCGACACGCAGTGGAAACGTATAGCGCAACTTACAATTGGTTAAAACACAGACTTGTGCATAATTGTATTGTACGTAGGACTTACCAATCTGTTATTATGCTGGAAAAGGCATGCATAATGCTTTTACACGTAGTAAGACAAATTCAACCGTGCGCGCACGTGTGCAGTTAGGATATCACGTTTCCCCTGCGGTCCTTAGTCTAGAACAGCAGGCCCGACAAACAGCTTCAAACTGCACGGTAGGCTGAGTTGGACCGTCGCCAACCCCTCGTCCTGTCGAACGAGACTAAACCTTTACTCACGGGTTGGTTTACTAATCACGCACCGAACAGTACAGTTAATTAGGTATGTCTAATGTCACCCGACAGGTCAGTCAGCAGAGCCCCGACGGTCGCGAGGAACGTGACAAAAGCGCCACCTTTCTGTACGGAGCTGAAGTGCATCATCGGGCTAAGAGATCTGCATCCAACGCCGGAAATTTTGCGAATAAGATCACACTGCCCACGACTCTAGGGGGTAGGGACATGACACTTTTGCATTTGTTTTTCCAATCTTGATTTCAGAATTAATTTGAATCCACAAATGAAAAAGACAATACATATGACAGATTCACTTTTTCCTCATTGCTTTGTGTATAGCTCACACACACACACACACACACACACACACACACACACACACACACACACACACACACACACCAAAAACAATATTTAACTCCCTTTGGGTGAAATTAACAACTCAGTGCATGTATGTAAGCAATGCTGCCCAGTCCCTTCTGCTCCGGTCCATGTTCCGGTGAGGCTGTAAAGCATGACTTCCATCTCCCCTGATACTTGTCCACATGCTTGTGACGTGAGGAGTTGTTAGTCATGCGTCAGAAGGCCACCTGGAGTCCCACACCTCCGGGTCCCTGAGCCTCTGCACTCTGATATCAGCCTGACCGGACATTGCCTCACCTGATTGTAAACCTCTGCAGAAGGTTCGGCTGGGCAGCTCGGAGCCTGCAAGAGTCTGTTTTTCTTAGGCCTGTGGGAACAAAATTTATCGGACATTGTAGGCTCCTTTCTACAATTTCAAAAATCAAATTTGATCTAGGAAACCAAAGCTTACACTTTTAATTGGATTCCGTAATATTTGTCACACAAGGAATAGTTGTTCTCCGTTGCCATGTTAGCTGTCCCATACGCAAGCTGGCCTCATGTCTTTTTACTTCTTCTTTTTTTTTGGTGGGATAACATTTTGCGTACCTGCAGTGTATCGAAATTATATTCTCTATAGCTTTACTTATTATTGGATTTCATATTTTTGTCTATTTGAATGTCTGCTAAGGCTGTTTGGCTGGGAACCGAGGGGAACCTGGAAGAGATGGAAGAGACGGTATTGCTGGGCCGGTCGGTCCTTCAGGACCGGTTGGTCCTCCAGGCCCCACTGGCCCAACCGGTCCACCTGGTCCTCCTGGGTCGGTAAGTAAAACTTGGTGCGCACTTACGGCAAATTACTAAATACTTGAAGTACAGACTCATGCACTTTTCGGACCAGAACTATGCTCGTCTCCAGTGTAATTGTAAACCTTAGGTATACTAGTATTACTACTAAACTTCACTCCTTTGAAACGCTAATCATGTGACACGACCACATGATCAAGTAACTGGGACAGTAAAAATTAAGGCTAGAGGTCTGGTCACAAATCCATCCATGCATGTAATGCCGTACTAATGGTACAATGACAACACAATCGCTTTCAGTATAGAATAACTGTCATATTACATGTTTTCACAGTGCTGCTGTTCCACATCGAGCCCGCCTACTGCAAACCCCAAACCCCCTCCCACTATCCCTGGTAAGAACCTTCGGTAATCAGTCACCTGCCAAAAGGGTGTTCTTGGAGTAACATTTCGATTTGCGATCAGCATTAAGGTAATCGTTTGTTTCGATTACACCCTTGCCAGAAGAGACAACAATAAGGACAACTGTGGATTTTCAGACAACCAACCACCCAATGACAACAGAGGATCCGATCTCTACCCAGGGTGGGTTCTTGTGTCACATTATATTTTACCTATTCGCTTGTCCGTCTCAATTACATACTAATGTACATGTTTTACATCATGAAAGTTGATTTGTGTTGGTAGTTACATGTTTAAAGACTTTTTTCCAACATAGGTGATAATTAAGCTGAGAGGCTTTAACAGAGAGTCGTGTTGATAAATTTTCTATTATGCTGGTCTTGTTTTGATTGTTGGTAAAAGGTCACTGCTGACAGAAAGAGACAGGCCTTGCATCAGCTCTATTGCCGTGTTTTGTAGATATCCGTCTGGTCGGTGGATCCGGTAACCACGAGGGAAGGGTGGAAGTGTTCCACAACGGACAATGGGGGACCGTCTGTGACGACTTTTGGGAGCAGGCTGACGCGGAGGTGGTGTGCCGCCAGCTGGGGTACCCTGGTGCTGTGAGATCGACGTCTCGTGCCTCCTTCGGGCAGGGGACCGGTCCCATCTGGCTGAATAATGTAGGCTGCAGCGGAAGTGAGTCACGCCTGCAAAACTGCAGCCACGGTGGATGGGGAACTCGTAACTGTGGACATCATGAAGATGCGGGAGTCGTCTGTACCGGTGAGCGAAATCCTCGCCGTAAAATGCACTCAAATTATACTCTCCAAGCAGAGGTTGGTGGGGAGATCGTTACCTTTCTATATATGCCCCGTTTTTGTTGCTAACCCCACCATAGGGGTTGGCGACAAAAAAATGGGGCATGTAAAAAGGTAACGATCTCCCAACCAACCTCTGCTTGGAGAGTACTCAAATGAGCGGTACACGAAATTTGTTTGACGGGAGATGCCCATCTTCAAAGACGGTTAATATTCCCATGTTTACCATGCCCCATATTACATTATGTTATTATAATATATAATGACCCATCTCATGCATCCATGAGGTGTGGTTTACTCGAAAGCACGTCAATGAAAAAATCCTAAAACATTAGAAGAACAGTAAGCCCTGTACATACAAAGGAAATTAGAGGGATCTCTTTTCCAGAAAGATCGATTAAGTCGCTAGGAGTATATTTTGGACATTTGGTAGAAGAATGTAATGAAAAAAACTGGTACGAAAAAGTGAGAAAGATTGAAAACATACTACAGTCGTGGTTAAACCGAAATCTAACACTATATGGTAAGGTTACTATACTTAAAACATTGATTGTATCACAAATAATTTATTGTGCCACATCACTTGTTGTACCAGAGGATGTAATCGTCAAACTAGACAGAATGTTTTATCATTTTCTGTGGTCGGGGAAAAAAAGACAAAATTAGGAGGTCAGTAATTATATCAGATTATGAGAATGGGGGAGTAAAGATGCTAAATATTCGTTCGCAAATCGATGCCTTACATGCAAGTGTTATTAGACGTATAATGGGCAGTTCTGTGGGTGATTGGAAGATAGTTCCACGTTTATTTATTAACGGTTTTGGGAAAAACTTCCTTATTCTAAATATGCATTTTAAAGACAAGCTTTACTGTCCTAACATGGAACACATACCTTTGTACTACAAACATGTTATCATAAGCTGACACAAAGCGATAGGCAGAAACATGGTAGAACCCGAGACCCCGGGCGAGATAAAAGGACACATAATCTGGGGGTCGAGGTTTATTGTATGTAAGCAGGGGACGAAAAAACCCACTTCACTATATTCTACAAACACTGGATAGATTCAGGAGTAGTACATATAGATGACTTGCTAGATGATAATCAATGCATAAATGAAACACTTTTAATAATATTAAAGAGAAAATGACTACAAGAATTATATATCGTAAAAAGAGCAATCCCCAAGAAGTGGTTAACGTTGTTGCATATGCATGACCCAGAATCAGTAGTACAAAAGGTAGAAATCACTAATTTTTCTCAGTATACCTGTAAATATTTGTATAAATTGTTATGTATAGACAAGGTAGAACATCCACAAGCTATAAGAAGTTGGGCCAAACAGTTACAGCAGGATCCCAGCTCTCTGAAGGTTCCATCGGGAAGGAAAGAACTCTTGGTTTAACCATAGAAAGAAAATTGTCAAACTTTATGTACAAGTTTCTGCATAGAATCCTTCCTAATACAGTAATCAAAATCTCTTTAAATGGAAATTAATAAGGTCACCTCTATGTAAAATCTGTTCAGAAATAGAAGACGAAAAACATATGTTCTTTCAATGCAAAAGACTTAACAATTTTTGGAAAAAAATGGAGAAACTACTGAACATTATAACTACTATTAAAGCTGACAGGCTTTAACAGAGAGTCGTGTTAATAAATTTTCTATTATGCTGGTCTTGTTTTGATTGTTGGTAAAAGGTCACTGCTGACAGAAAGAGACAGGCCTTGCATCAGCTCTATTGCCGTGTTTTGTAGATATCCGTCTGGTCGGTGGATCCGGTAACCACGAGGGAAGGGTGGAAGTGTTCCACAACGGACAATGGGGGACCGTCTGTGACGACTTTTGGGAGCAGGCTGACGCGGAGGTGGTGTGCCGCCAGCTGGGGTACCCTGGTGCTGTGAGATCGACGTCTCATGCCTCCTTCGGGCAGGGGACCGGTCCCATCTGGCTGAATAATGTAGGCTGCAGCGGAAGTGAGTCACGCCTGCAAAACTGCAGCCACGGTGGATGGGGAACTCGTAACTGTGGACATCATGAAGATGCGGGAGTCGTCTGTACCGGTGAGCGAAATCCTCGCCGTAAAATGCACTCAAATTATACTCTCCAAGCAGAGGTTGGTGGGGAGATCGTTACCTTTCTATATATGCCCCGTTTTTGTTGCTAACCCCACCATAGGGGTTGGCGACAAAAAAATGGGGCATGTAAAAAGGTAACGATCTCCCAACCAACCTCTGCTTGGAGAGTACTCAAATGAGCGGTACACGAAATTTGTTTGACGGGAGATGCCCATCTTCAAAGACGGTTAATATTCCCATGTTTACCATGCCCCATATTACATTATGTTATATAATATCGTATATAATGACCCATCTCATGCATTCAAGGTGTGGTTGGTTTACTCGAAAGCACGTCAATGAAAAAATCCTAAAACATTAGAAGAACAGTAAGCCCTGTACATACAAGCGATGCCGTTTACAGTCGGGACTTTTATAGGATTCTGACATCAATTTCCATCCCCGTGTTGCAGACCCCTGCAGCCCGAGTGGGTACCGTATGCTGAGTCAGGCCTGGAGGAACGTCAACCACCGTGTGGCCTACCCCCTTCGCTGTGACGACGGTTTCAACCGGGAGTGGTACCGCTTCATGGGTCCGGCCGGGACTCAGATGCTGACACAGAGCCCCGGGAGAACCGGCGTCTGTGGCACCGCTGTTCCGATGTGGATGAACGGAGCACATCCGACAGTTGCTGACGGAGAGGTGTCCCGGCGGGCGTGCGGTTACTGGAACCGTAACGCCTGCTGGTACCAAGCAACCATCCAGGTGAAGGCGTGCCGTGCCGTGTACTACGTGTACAAACTGCCCAGGACTCCTGGCTGCTACCATGGTTACTGTGGTGAAACAGGTGTGCCATTTTCTGTCTTATTTACTGTACCTCCATCGTTAGGCAGGATGCTTTTATTTCCATTGGTTAAAGAAGACCGATGTTTTGAAATATATAAATCTCACAAACAGTGTTTTAAGTGCTACCTAACTACGAAGTCACTTCAACTGATTGACGGATATACAAGTATCATTACTTATATATGCATGCAAGCTCATCTGCGTATACATAATACTTTTGGAGTTGTTTTTGTTTAGTGATACAAAAATCACTAATTTTCTTATGAAGTTGTATCTTTTACTTTTTATAGAAGTGACCCACGTTGTTGACTGACTATGACTTTTAAAACTCTTCCTGTTTAAACAACGCGGAATCCGTTGGAAAGCAACATTCGTACCTGGTCTCCAACAACACCATACAGCATAATCAACTGAATTCAACTGATTTAAGATCCATTCCCACTAGGATAACATTATCCGGATCAAGAAGAGTTGATTCGCTTCAATCCGGCTTCGATCCTGCTTCGAGCTGAATCGAAGCCGGATCAAAGCGAATCAATTCGACTCGATCTGGACCATTTTGTCCTAGTGAGAATGGGGCCATAGTGGTACAACAATCACTATGAGATCTTCAGTAGAATAGACGCCATAGATGAGATGGAACAAAAAAGGACAAGAAAACAGAATATACTTCACAATAGTAGAGTTTACGCAGAATGCCGGTTCAGATTTGCTGTAGTAAAACCCAAAATTGAGCCATTAACATTGCTACCATGTAGTCAATACTTCAATGCACTAAATTTACAAATAAATATCTGGCGGCAGTAGCTAGTGACTAAGCTAAGACTCATATAATTTCGGCATGTGGTTATAGTAAGATGTCATCACCAGTTAGGCTAGTTAGGCTAGTTTAAAATACTGTCGTTGTGTCTAGTAGGAATGTACAGCTGAGTAGGGTACCGGTATATACTTGATATGGATGCCATGCACAGTATTTATAGGTACTGTAGTTAAACACAAAAGTGAGAGACTCTTCACTAAGATAGCTGCGGGCTTACAAAATAAGGTATGTACCTGCTCGTGAGAACTTTTAGTATCTAACATTCTAGCTCTATCTATATATTATAAAGCTCTGATTCAGTATGCCATGTTGGTGACTAGTAACTACATAAATATGATATTGTAACAAATATCGTAAATGTGTCCCTTTTCATATAGATACAGGCAGGTATACACAGATAGATAGAAAGAAAGAGAGACGCATGGATAGGTAGATCAACATGACTTCTGTATCCCTTGTTGTATTTTACTTTGCTTTGTTGGTGTCCTGTTTATAACTGGTGCAAGCTTAAGGCTTAGTTTAAACCTACCTATCAACCACTGGCGTTAAAGCTATTTGAAATCATTGTTTCTCCCGCATCACATGACGTCCATGTGATTATAAAAGCGTACATATTGGTGTCGTTGAACTCTGTTGCTCCTTTGGAATAAAATGCAGGTTTATTTCCACAGAAATTGTGTCTGAATACATCCTGCTCTATATGCCATAATTTCGTAATGTAACAGTAAAGAATATACTACATGACGTCACGTAAATGGTAACTCGGAGAACTTCGGAGACCGTCGGCTCGTGCCCGACAGGTGACGAGCACAAGCCGAAGTTGTCCGAATGAGCCCGATGATCTCCGACTGCCTTGCCGAACCACTAAAAATAATTAGTGCGATACTTGCCTTGGGCACAGTTTGTCCTCTTATCTTTAACAACTCAAAAGTGTCTTTTTTACAATGCGAATCGCTTCCTCAGTGGTAATATTTTTCATAAAAAGGATATTGGTTTGTTCCTTACTACGATGAAATTTAGAAACGGATACTGTAGTTTGGTTCTGGCCCACATCATGTGAACAACAGAAGCTGCCCTGACTTGTGAACCCTGAGGTAAGGGAAGACCGGTTTTAGAGACGCTGTGTGTAACCACTTGTTACAGGCGCAAATTTAGGCGTGTTAGAGTGTTGTGTTTATACAGAAATCACTGACGCATGAAATTCCTTAAAATACAAATCCAACGTCTTCCTTTCTCATATGATACGGTTAAAATACGTCCAAGACCTACGATATAAGCTAACACAGAAACAGACCAGTACGTTAGGGACCAGGAAACGTCAAGTTGAACGTTGCTGTTTTTTTTTTTTTTTCATTTCTTAATTTTTCTGGGGTGTTGATATTTTCTTGAACAGCAAATTTGAAACACGAAGAGTCAGTTTCTCTTAAAAGTCATTCTCTGTTAAACATTGCTGTAAATGTCTCGTTCATCTGTTCGGAGCCTATTGTTAGATATACCCGTACGAAAAAGTAAATTCAGTCAGACAGGCCAAAGCCTTCTCTTTAACTGTCTGACTTTAAAGATATGATGTCACTTCTAACCCAACGTTCCTGTTGCCTGATTGGTTAGGAAATTTGCAACACACCCAGTTTGTATTGCGTCAGTTATATTTTTAGCCATACACGGAGATTCAGAGCACGTCGGAGACGTTCGGGTCCGAGCCGAAGTTTGCCGAATGGCCCCGATTCGTGCCCGATGATCCCCGATTGCCACAATCATGTCGCTCGGCACAAGGAAGGAATACCGATGTAATTGGTGCCTGAGGGCCGGTTTGTTATCAGTAAAAGATATCGTTTTAAACAACTCAAATCACTCAGTTTGTGGTTTAGTCCTTAGAGATGCGATGTAGGTTTGTCCTTACCAAAGGTAAAAGTAGAATATCTGATTTTTTAAAACAGATTCTGAAGTTTAGTTTTTGCTTTTATTCTGTCAACAATTACTGGGTTCACTGAGCCAACAAGAGGTCGTGTTTTGTCACGTATTTAGTCCTACAGACAACGAGTACAAGCCGATTAGTACAACGAGCTCAAAAGACCCCGTTTACAGTTGAGACAATCACTGGGTAGAATATGTGAATACAAATGTACAAATGTAAAGAGTGCTATTAATGCCTGTGGTTCAGTTTGACCTCCAATCTTGAGAAGAATTTTAAAACCAAAAAATACTTTTGTTTCAATGTAATTTTTTTTAGTTTTGTTGGGGCCAAATCTAGAAACTACTACTACTGCAGTTTGATTTTAGCTGTAATTATGACAACACTAGTATAAGACAGTAGTTGCCAGTCCCCTCTGACCTGTGAGAACATCTCGTCGGGTCAGGGCCAACCGGTTTTACTCTCCAAGCAGAGGTTTGCGTTTGGGGGTATTTTTGGCGAGTTTTTAGGCTTTTTTTTTTAAATCGGGGTTTCTTTTTTGCACTGGAATTCTTTTTTCACCCAACTCAACCTCTGCCGGCACTCACCCCGGGGCGGGGCAAACCTATTCAGGAAACGTGACAGTGCTCCTCCCCGGGAACCATCAACTTATCATTAGGGATATCAAACTTTACTGTGGTGGATTATCACACATCCAGCCAGTGCAAAAAAGAAACCCCGATACAAAAAAGCCTAAAAACAAAAATATACCTGAACCCCAAACCTCTGCTTGGAGAGTAAAACCGGTTTTAGACGCGCAGTGAGCGGCTGATTGTTCCAGCCTGAGGGGTTAATTTGAGCCCATCGTTACCGACCTTCTACTGGTTCAGCGCGGTGTGTTTATACAAAAGTCATTGAAGTATAAAATGTCTGAAAATGTACCTTAGACGTGTACGGGCCAAAAATACAACCGATAAAGATACAACTAAGAAGCATCATAGTTCTAAACGCATCATGGATCACATTGTTCGGTGCTACACACGCTACTAAGGATTTAACAATTCACTACGCCACTGACTTAATCATATGGATGGCATGCTTCTGTGTTTGCTCATATCATAGGTTTTAGATATGTTTCACCGTATTATGAGCCATGGGGAAGCTGAATTTGTATTTTGGGGCCATTTCATGCATTTTGATTTCTGTATAAACACAACACTCTAAGTTTGCGTCTCTAAAACCGGTCGTCCCTGACCTCAGGGTTCACAAGTCAGGGCAGCTTCTGTTGTTCACATGATGTGCTCAAAAACCAAACTACAGCATCCGTTTCCATACTTCGCATCTTTTATTATCAGCGTCGCAAGGAACAAACCAGTATCTAGGAAAGGAACGCGAATTGGGTGGTAAATACGACAGTTTTGAGTTGTTAAAGATCAGAGGACAAAACAAACTGGGCCCCAGGCAAGAGTCGCACTAATTATTTTTAGTTGTTCGGCAAGGCAGTGGGAGATCATGGGGCCCATTCGGCCAACTTCGGTTTGTACTCGTCACCTGTCGGGCACGAGCCGAAGGTCTCCGATGTTCTCCAAGTTACCATGGACGTGACGTCATGTAGTTTAAAATATACTCCTTATTGTTAAATTAAGAAATTGTGGGATATGTTTATGAATACATGCAATATTTTGTTTCATATTGTCTATTGCTGTGCATACCGACAGATAGGGCAATTTCGTTTAAAATATGAACATGGGCAAAACCGTCACGTCCATTCATCAGATACTGTAGCTGTTGTACATGTAGGTCAATAACCTTCGTCTTGCTCTTTTTAAGACTACATTATGCCCTGCATGATTTTGTCTTTGGCTAAGATTTTTTCATGTCAGGTTACTATTATGATATTTTGTAGCCAGTGTGTTAGCTTACATTTGGCATTCCTTCTCCATGATATTTACCAAGATCGTCGTAAAGCGCTGAAACTTCGTCTGTAACATAAAGAGACAAAACACGACCTCTTGTCGGCTTCAGTGAACCCAGTAATTGTTGACAAAATAAGAGCCAAAAGTAAACTACAGAATCTGTTTCTAAAAACCACATATTTTACGACTATCTTTAGGAAGGACAAACCTACATCGAATCTCTAAGAACTAAATCACAAACTAAGTGATTTGAGTTGTTTAAAACGATATCTTTTAGTAAAGACAATTTGACCCTCAGGCACCAATTACATCGGTATTCCTTCCTTGTGCCGAGTGACATGACGGTGGCAATCGGGAATCATCGGGCACGAATCGGCCCCATTCGCCAACCTTCGGTTCAGACCCGAAGGTCTCCGATGAGCTCCGAATGAGTTAATTGGTATTTACAACCAATGAGAGAACAGAACTGGATTCAAAGTGATAATGATCTTTAGATTCAGTCAGTCGCAGATAGATAATTGTACAGGTTGGGACTGTCTGTACAACTACGAATATTTACTTTTTGGAGCGGGAATATCTTAGAATGGGCTCCGAAAAGCTTTACGAGGCGACTTACGGGCGTGACAAGCGAAGCCACACCGGGCTGGCGATAGTCGGATCTCTGATCGTGGCTGCTACAGCCGTGATTGTGAGCTTCGTCACCATGTTCGTACTGGTGAGGCAGGGGGTTGACCTCAGTAAAATGGAAGCCCAGCTGTCGCACCTGAAGGAAATGGAAGCCCAGCTGTCGCACCTGAAGGAAATGGAAGCCCAGCTGTCGCACCTGAAGGAAATGGAAGCCCAGCTGGCGCACCTGAAGGAAATGGAAGCCCAGCTGTCGCACCTGGAAGAAAAGGAAACGCACCTGAAGGAAGTGGAAGCCCAGCTGGCGCACCTGAGGGAAACAGACACACACCTGAAGGAAATGGAAGCCCAGCTGTCGCACCTGAAGGAAATGGAAGCCCAGCTGGCGCACCTAAAGGAAATGGATGCTCAACTGAAAGCCCAGATGCAGAAGATAGAACAATGGAAGGAACACCTTGACGTGCAGGTATGTCGCATGTTTACAGTTTACAACGAACTCGTAGTAGTTAAATTTTCGACCCAAAGGTTCCGGTTGTGGGTTCGGACGCCTTACGAAAAATTGCAATTAATTCAATAGTGTTCAAACTGTACTTTTTAGCATTTCTGTTCACAATTTTCGCACGTATGCTGTGAAAATCCCAGATAATTAGAGCTGACGTAATGTCTATGGGGGTAATGACCTGTAGTTCGTTTCCTAGTCGACTCGTAACCGCTCACCCTCCCAACACACACACACCCAAAAAACAGACCACGGGTACAAAAAAATGTCTTCCTTGTGATAATGAGTTGTCATTCATTGACCTGTTTTTAAAGTTATACATTTGTTTAGCTTTATATTCAATTTTAAAGTCAATCTTTACCAGAAACATTTATTATGTGGATGGAGCACAACTCAGACTGGTACATGCTTGCTTTGTATTTTGTAGTTTTGAAGGTGGAGTTATGTTTAAAAAGTCTGTGTGTAATGATAATGGCACCTTGACACGCAGTTAGATAAAGTTAACAGTACGTGCACGAATGTGCATTCAGGAGAAAATCTGTCCCCTGTGGCCCTTAGTCTAGAACTGCAGACCCGACAGACGAGTTCAAATTGCACGGTAGGCTGAGTTGGACCGTCGCCAACCCGTCGTCCTGTCGAACGAGACTAAACCATTACTCACAGGTTGGTTTAGTAACCACGCACCGAACAGTACAGAGTTTATTAGGTGTGTCTAATGTCACCCGACAGGTCAGTCAACTGGGCCCCGGCGGTCGTGAGGATGAACCGGTACGTGACAAAAGCGCCACCTTTCTGTACGGAGCTGAAGTGCATCACCGGGCTAAGAGATCTGTGTTTAACGCCGGAAGTTTTGCGAATAAGATCACACTGCCCACGACTCTAGGGGGTAGGAATATTTTTGCATTTGTTTTTCCAATCTTGATTTCAGCATTAATTTGAATCCACAATGAAAGAGACAATACCATATGACACTTTTTATGGCTTCACCACACCACGAAGCTTTTTTTTTTCATTTTATTTGAAACAGGCCTTTAAAATTGTTTGGTTTGAATTGTTTTGTTTTGTTTTGTTTTGCACCACCCCCATCTCTTCGCAGAATAGCCTTTTTTGACACAAGTGTATTAAAATATCCATTCCACTGTGCTGGTATGGTGAACATCTGTTTTGGCTGGTCTGTCGAAAGCTATTATTTGAAAACCATTTTTAAACACTTCTTTGCATAAGATAGTCTTCTCAACAACTCGAGCAGTACAGTATCTAAAATGCTAATTATTGAATGAATGAATGAATGAATGAATGAATGAATGAATGAAATAATTATTGTTGAATTGCATATCTGCGTGCAATGTGATGTTCTAAGGGTGCTTAGCCGGTGAGAGAGGAGACCCCGGAAGGGACGGGAGAGATGGTCTGACTGGTCCTACGGGCCCTCCTGGCCCTACTGGTCCTCCTGGCCCTCGTGGAGACACCGGAGCAAACGGTTCACGTGGAGACCCCGGCCCTCCCGGCAGCCCCGGCCTTCCTGGTCCACCTGGACCTGCTGCCTCGGTAAGTACGATGTATAAATATCACAGGAATGAAAGGCGCTTCACTAAGTGCTGTTATCTTCTTAAACAAGGCAGTCCTATTGTATAACTCTAGGAAGTTGCAACTCTAACAGGTTGCTAATCTTAGCCCCACCATGCACTGACAAAGAGTACATTCAATGGTATATAACAATAACAAAACAGCAATAAGTAACAAGACAGCAAGAAACTAAACAGCAAATGGACGATAAAGACGCAAGTTCTGTAGCTGAACTAGTGAATGTAAACCGATAACCTCAATATTTCCAAGAAACGGCCATCCAAATATCCTAATACTGCATGATATAGCAAGACGGTTCCAAAATGCCAATGGACATCACATTTCTTCCTTTACAGTGTTGCTGTTTGTCACCACCACCCTCTAGCCCACCGAGGACTGCCGGCCCCAGCCCGCCGCCCGCTTCTACCACCAACCCGCCTCTCACAACAACACCAATCCCACTTCTGACACCAAGTCCCAGCCCCGGTAAGGAACGCTGGTTCCCTATTGGTAGGCTTGGTTGAAGGTTTCTTGCACGCTATAAAGCCGCAGGTGTTGAAATATTGCTGTGAGGTACAGAGCATCGTCTTCTTTAGTTCAGTGTGAGCATGCAATGTAAAACATTGTTCTGCACGTTGGACGCTTGAGCATGTATTTTTTCTTATTCGGAACATGAAGAATTGTGAAAGACATAGAGTGCCTCTTGTTTTTCTAAATACGTTGTTGTAGCCATGAAACCAATAATAGAAGCCTTTGCCTGCGTAAGCATGTAAAAAAAATCAGCACCTTTCGACCAGTTTTCTAACTTCCCAATTGGCACTTCCAGGCGCCAGTTATTCTAGTATATACTCAACTTTCATAATATTTAGGGATGAAATGCATTTTAGGGATTGATCACATTTTGAATGGCACTCTTCTTTCTTTTTCAATTTCGAAAGGACCACAAGGGCAATGTGATTTGAAGCCGGATATATTCTTCATTATGGACAGTTATTCCCAAACTTCCAAATATGTTGCGATCCCATTGCTGAACGCTTTTACCATCAGCTTGGATGATACCAGGGTTGGTGCTATGCGATGCAGATGGTCGAGCAACATGTGAGTATTTTAGTAGAAGTGTAGATGAGAGTAGATGTAAACTAATCTAAATACAGTACTAGTGTAGAACATGCAAGTTGCAATCACTAGTGGCTCAGAACGTTTCTACATAGACATAGTGCCCCGTCATTCGAAAATCTTACAAGCTCTGATTATTTAATTATCAATTCATATTATAGTATATATATTGTATACTTACAGTTCAAATTGAAGATTTTACTTCATTGGGATCCACAATTTCTAATGTCGAATCTACAGACCAGGCAATTAGAGCAATCTGGTCTAGGGACTCTTGCTCTAGAAGACCTACATGTATGCATCATTCAAACAATCAGTTAACAATTTTGATTCATGATGCAGATTGGAGTTCAAATTGGGAGATTATGCAGACAAGGAATCTACAGTTGACGCAATGAAAGCCATTGGAAGTAGCTACTGCGGACGTATCGGATCTGCGCTGGATTTCGCCCGTCAAAATGCAGCTTGGAGGCCTGCGCCTGTTCCAAGGGTTTGTGTTAGACATTTCAGCCCCTAGATGTCATGATTTATCCTCTTATGATTACTGGGCAAAAGGCATCACATCACATAGCCGTCTTTTATTTAGATGAGTTTGTAGTAATATAGAGTTAACCAAGTTTACACATATTACACCTTTAACAGATTTTTCTTGCATTTATATCAGATAACACTTGTTGGAATAGGTTTTGGAAATTGTGTGGAGACCAGGGAAACTGAAATTGAAGGACCCTTTTTCTTTTCAGGTGATGATAGTCATTAAAAGTTACTCATCCAGGGACAGCGTGGTGGCGGCTGCCCAGGCTCTGGCCGCGGACCAAGTTGCCGTGTTCGCCATCGGTCTGAGCAGCAGTGTCAGCTCAGAACAACTACTGCAGATTACTAACAACAACCCAGGCCGTGTGTTTTGGCATGCCAGCTCCAGGGATGTGGACATCCCCAAGATTGTTCGAGCCATCTGTACCCACGGTAAGACAGCAAGCGGTGATGACTGACTGCCTGACCATGAACTTTGTTAACTGGTTTAAAATCTTACAGATTAATGTAGAATGGTTCACTAGGGTATATAATTTTCATGAAAATCTGGTGATGTCATAGAATAGGTCAACACGGGTCACCACTCAGCCGTGACCACTTGGGCTCAGCGGGGTGGCCAAGGCAGCATGCAGCGGTGTGTGTGACTGCACGGTTCCCAAGACTTCTCCAGCGGAGACGTCTCGAAACCCGCTAGCCGTCATGGGTATAAAGTGGGCCTTAATGGAGGGCCGGGTAGCTAACTCACTTGAAACCGTGACGGTTGTAGATTCCGTCTTCCGGTCACTCCTGACGCCATCCCCATTCCGTATTCCGGAAAGTTAACCAGGCATCTGATGAAGGTCGACGATGTCGACTGAACTGATTAACGAGATTAACTCAATGGTGTTTCCTTTTACGTTGGAACAAAGCTCAAATTGTGCACGATATTTACAAGACTAACTATTAGGTTCTATCTTGCAGATGACGAACACGTGACCCCATGGCAACCAATCGGTAAGGTTTTTGTTTCCTTGTAATGTATTCTTTAATTTATATATCATAAAATATTAAAGAAATGAATCCAAAGGAAAGTACATTTCGGCGATTTATTTTGCTTTTTTGTTGTTGTTGTTCAAATTGATTCAATTTCAGATCCTGAATATGCCATGGTTATGATATATGAATGACAGGTCGCTTTTGCGCTGGGTAATACGTACAACTGGTGTTTGTTTGGACCCTCTATCAACATCCCTTGCAACTGCAAGGTTACTTTTGCTTTAAACTTCAAAACAGGTTTGATCATGAAATGTTTAATGTAGATGCACTTTGCTCTATGGATCTAAATTTATATCAAAGTACTTTGTCACAGTTATACATTTTTTTTAAATAATTTCCAACATGTAATCACAAGACGTGGTGACGGCACACTCATGTTTTTCAAACTTATATTAATACCGCCACCAATACATGGGACAATACAATACTTATCTTCACCTGAGCCAAGTGAGGAAAGTCGTGCAAAGTGCCTTTCCCAAGGGCACAAGATCGGTGGCATGTCAGGACTCGAACCCGGGACCTCTAGGTTCCGAGTCGAGCACTCTGCCGCTACGCCACACGACCCCAGTTATACATTAATCTAGAAGTCACTGTTGAGTACACTACAGGTAGAGGAAGTGAAAGAGGAAGAGGTTAAGGCTATACACAGTATACCACATAAGACATTTCAGCCTGCGACTGTTTACTTCTTGTTGATTTGATAGTTCATTGTACACAGCTATGGACTTGTCATTTTCCTTCTCGTGCCCAACAATTGTGTTCTTTGTAATTAGTTTTTTAACAAGAAGTTATTATTTTTGTTCTGCAAAAATAGGCATCCGACTGGTTGGTGGATACTGGGCCCATGAGGGAACGGTGGAAGTGTTCCACAACGGACAATGGGGGACCGTCTGTGACGATACATGGCAACAAGCGGACGGCGATGTGGTTTGCAATCAGCTGGGGTTCCCTGGTGCTGAGAGGGTAACAACTGAAGCCTCCTTCGGGCAGGGGACCGGGCCGATCTGGCTGGATGACGTCGAGTGTGGCGGGAATGAGACAAGTCTACAAAACTGCAGTCACGGTGGATGGGGAAGTCATAACTGCGGACATAATGAAGATGCCGGAGTCGTCTGTAACCGTAAGTTCAAGTATATTTTTTTATGGCACCTTGTCTGGCTTGTTGCTCATTGGCTCCTTCTATCTCTCCGACCCTCCAAAGTTCTTATATATTACTATTGACTAAGCTTGAACCCTCAAACAACAATCTGGCCAGATAGGATCATCTGTTGTCAACTGAAATTCACCTTAAAGTACTCCTTTTGGCCTCTATCCTGTGCCGTTCAGGAGACGTCCGGAAAGTCGGCGGATCAGAGGACCATGACGGCAGGGTGGAAGTTTACTACAGCGGACAATGGGGAACGATATGTGATGACGAGTGGAGCCTCAGTGACGCCGAGGTGGTTTGCCGGCAGCTGGATTTCCCTGGTGCTCAGCAGGTAACAACTGAAGCCTCCTTCGGGCAGGGCACTGGACCCATCTGGATGGATGATGTAGACTGTGCCGGGAGTGAATCACGTCTGCTAAACTGCAGCCACAGGGGATGGGGCACACACGACTGTGCACATTCTGAAGATGCTGGAGTTCTGTGCAACAGTGAGTGGGAACAGTTTCTATATCACTATAACGGAAGCTTTCCTACCTACTAGCCGATGTGTTCCCTGTATCTAACATTGTATTTCGACCAACATGCACGTACATAAACACAACAATTACTAATACTAATAAACAGTTATTCATAACAATTTATGTATACAAATGACAGCAAATTTACCATATCTATCATCTCTTATCCGATGCTCCATGGTATATTCAGTTCGTGCCCGCCTGGTTGGTGGTTCTGGTGACCACGAGGGAAGGGTGGAGGTTTTCCACAACGGAGAATGGGGAACGATTTGCGATCGATATTATAGGAGTCGGTTCAAACAGGCCAACGCTGAGGTGGTGTGCCGGCAGCTGGGGTTCGCCAGTGCCAAGTATGTACGGTCTCGGGCCTACTTCGGGCAGGGGCACGGACGGATCTGGTTGAGTAATGTAGCCTGCAGCGGAAATGAGTCAAGTGTACACAGCTGCAGCCATGGTGGATGGGGTCCCTCTTGCAGCCATTATTACGACTTTGGAGTTGTCTGTACCAGTAAGTTGTAATATGTCCATACTTTACTATTTACTATAATCTTTGTTGCAGGTATGGACATGGCGCTAATTAACTCACATTTACAATATAGTATATTATAGAGGCATACATTTGCCCGATTATGCCTGGTAAGGAAAATAGCAGAATATCGGCGTGGCCAATGAGATATTTGCAAATAAAAACAACTTGAAGATACGTACACAATAGATTCTTACACTGGTCAGATTAGTCAGACCTGAGAACCCTCCACTTCAGGAAATTTATCATATCATTTTTGTACTTTCACAAGATATCCGCCTGGTTGGTGGTTCCGACGAACACGAGGGCAGGGTGGAAGTTTACTACGATAGGAAGTGGGGCTCTGTTTGTGACGATGGATTCGGTCTCAGTGACGCCGATGTGGTGTGTCGCCAGCTGGGCTTCCCTGGTGCTGAAGCAGCGCCGTGTTGCGCCTCCTTCGGGCAGGGGACTGGGCCGATCTGGCTGGATGATGTCGAGTGTAGCGGGAATGAGACAAGTCTGCTAAACTGCAGTCACGGTGGATGGGGAAGCCATAACTGTGAGCATGAAGAGGATGCTGGAGTTGTCTGTGACACTAGTGAGTCTGATTATATTGTTTACTTTCTGTCAGGAAGTTAAAAACTCGAACTGTAACACTTTTGTGTCTCCATTTCTTATTAGCTTCGAAATTTCTCGCGTCATTTTTGTATGGCACGATTATGTAATGTTAATCAATAAAAATGCTCATAAGTTGTATCCTTCATAGAATTTTAGACAAACTAGCATGGAAGCATCTTGTCGTCAGACGTATTCCAAATGTCATATATGTTCTGATTCAATATTCAGCACGTGCCCGCCTGGTTGGAGGGTCCGGGGAACACGAGGGAAGAGTGGAGGTTTTCCACGACGGACAGTGGGGGACAATTTGCGGTTGGTGTTGGGAGCGACGTATGGCAGATGTGGTGTGCCGTCAGCTTGGGTTCCTTGGTGCTCAGCAGGCAACACATGATGCCTCCTTTGGCGAAGGGACCGGACCGGCATGGTGGATCGATTACTACTGGCAATGTAGTAGGCGTGAGTCACATCTTCAAGCCTGTGGGGACTGGAGATTGGCCAACGGACGGTGCGGAAATGCTGGAGTTGTCTGTTTTACCGGTAAGTTGTGACATTTTGTAAGGTGCTTCAGTATCATAGTTTTCTTGGTGCGTCTCAACTTACATCGAGTCATTACCAATGAACTGCAAAGAATGGAACTTGGCCACTTCTCCCATTGTTTTGAGCATCGTTGGAGACCTGACGACCTTGCTCCATTATTGGACTTAACCTCAGCTATTGTACAATTGACGCTGATTGGAGTTTTTTTTTTAATTCCGAAACATGCAATCACAAGACGTGGTGACGGCACACTCAAGTTTTTTCAACTTATATTACAGCCACCAACACAGGGACAGTACAATACTCATTTTCACCTGTGCGAAGAGAGGAAAGTCGTGTAAAGTGCATTTCCCAAGGGCACACGATCGTTGGCATGTCAGGACTCGAACTCGGGGCCTCTTGGTTCCGAGTCGAGAACGCTGCCGCTACGCCACACGACCCCACAAATTGGAGTTAAGAAATGATAAGAACCGAAATTGTATCAAAATATATGCAATTCCAGTTCCGGGAGGAGAAAGTATTAAATTCTTCAAGTGTAATTTAATGGTACATACTTAGTAATTATGTTCGTCTATTTCATTTATGTACTTACACATGGACAAATCGCGCCTTTTACTTGCATTTACCTATGATTGATATTTTTCACGTCAGGACAAACACAAAGACCAACAACATTGCTCACAACTACAGACGAGGGTAGGTTTATGTTTTTTTTACAGTGCCATTACCTTAAACACACAAAACTTCAATTCAATGATTTATAATCTATTCACGAACATTTTATCCAGACGTCGATATACATTTTCTTGATAACTCTTTGAATTCAATGTTGCACAAAGACTATCTATCACAGATTATGAGTTCTGTTCCAGATCCTTTTACGAATGGAAAATTTATAAAGACAAATTAAGATATACATTTATAAATTATCGCCATTGACCCATTTCTATTAAAACTTTATGCAGATTATGACATAAATATCATTTAGGAACAAAAGCAACTAACAACGTAAACCCGTGAGTTGGTTATATCGCACAGCATTTCAGTGAATTGTAGTGATAATCTTTGAATCATCATCATAGAGTACATGTAGATATCCTACAATTTATAATTTAGAGCTTGTCGTTAACGTGCAAACTCAAGTTACAATGTGATACTTTTAAACAATTTTTAACCTGTTAAACGTACATAATTTATCTATTCTAAATCTGAGGAACTGAATAACTTACTTCGAATATTGTGAGCGTATTTTATCAAGTGTTTGTAAATGTTGTAGCTGAACAATTGTAGTTTTACGAGCAGTACTATAATTTCGTTGTAATTATTTCAAGTTTTGTCAAATGAGCTAATCAAAATTAAATGCAATATAATATGTCAGTGTGAAAAACTGTAAAGTCACTGCAATTCAGTGATTGCGAAAGTTGTCCACTGCGAACTTTCAACAAAGATCTTGAATCTTGAAGTTTGCTCTTTCTGTTAAAGCACGGACAACTCAACAAGATTTCTGGACAGTCCAAGAGGACCCCGTATTGCCAGGGGATGATGGTAAGTAAGGAAGTTTCAGACATGTTTATGCCAAATTCGACTCAAAATATCAAACAGTGAAGAGCTATAAAATATGTAAACTGAGAGGTCCAGCTTACAACGAACATGATTACGGCTTTGGCGTTGTACGTATCATATATGGTAACGTTTTGAATATAATGATAGCTTAGTCGGACATCGAAAAGTATCGTTTTCTTGTGTCATGTCTCCATGCAAGTTAAGTTTTTTTCCAACTTTGCTTTGGAAAGCTCATTGACTTCCAGCACGACACAGATTACCCGCGTGGATGCACACGTAGAATATGACAGCATAACTGATAGATGTTGCGGCCATACCGCTTCTGATAGCCTTATTCCGTGTCATGCTTTACATTACTCGTTCGCGTCTCTTCTAATCCTTGATGAATGTTTGTTGTTCTTTTTTTAACCCATTAGACTGCGCAGCATATCATGCGTCAGGACAGACCACCAGCGGAGTTTACACCCTCGACTTGTCCTCCACCAGTGTAGAGGCATATTGTGACATGGAGAGTGAAGGTAATGTTAAAATGAAACATCGGAATTTGTTATTTATACATATAAATATTCATATTCATATATATACATAAGTATCAAAAGTTTTTGTGACCAGTTAGGTTTGTAAGAAGAGTCAGTACATGACTTAATGGTAGGCGTTGAAGCTTTTTTTGTTATATCATTTAGTTATATATATTTTTAATTGGTTCATACGATGCCTTTTGTAATTGAAAACGTAATTCTTTTCAACAGGCAACACCGGTTTGCGTTGGTAATCATGTATCGATGCTTCATCCTTATCTTTCACATTATGTTATTTATGTACAGGGGGCGGATGGACCGTGATCCAACTGAGGCAGGACGGGTCGGTTCTCTTTAACCGGACCTGGGAGGAGTACAAACATGGCTTTGGGAACAAGAACGGGGAATACTGGCTTGGGAACGAGAACATCCACCTCCTGACCAAGAGGAGGAACTACAAGCTAAGGATAGACATGGAAGATTTTAGTGGGGACAGCAGATATGCAGAATACAGTTCCTTCGGGTAAGAGCATGCAAATCATGTATCATTTGCATAATAAATAAATGAAATGAAATGAATTTGCATAATTAATGAGGAACTTGCGTAATTTAAGCGGATTTACGTGTTTTTCTAGAAGATTGAAAAAAGTCAATCATGTAAAATGTAAACGATTGTAATTTTAAAATGTAAATTTATGTGAAAGATACACATTTTGAAAACGTGTTCTTTTATTACGTTATTATGCGTGTGTGCCTCGACCTAAGGTCCCTTTTTACCCTTGTATAATCTATACATATATAATCTATATGTACATAATCTCCCCGTCCAGACTGTCCAGCGAGGCGAGCGGTTACAAGCTGCACCTGCCCAGTTCGGGTTATACTGGGAATGCCAGGGACTCCATGAGTGGCGACGACGGACAGAAGTTCTCCACTGTGGACAGGGACAATGATGCCGACAGATGGAGCCACTGTTCTCAGCGTTACGGCCAGGGCGGCTGGTGGTATAGCTGGTGCGGTTACTCCCGCCTCAACGGGCGCTATCTAGGCAACTGTGGGAACTCCTGTCAATGGGGGCAAGGTGTGCTGTGGTACGGCTGGAGAGGCTCTTATTATTCCCTGAAGTCTGTGTCCATGAAAATCAGGCCATGATCATTACCTGTCCTTACCGAATCGGATTAACATCCAGGTATGAACAGAATAACCATCTTACTTGGACCGTGATGTTTTAAACAGCTGAGTAGTTTTTAATAGATAAAAATTCAATCATCCAAAACAACAGTTTGGGCCCAAATTACAGACGTTAAATTCTCAAAATAAATTGCTGAAATCTACAGTTCAAATTTAGTCAACAGGACGGGATGTTATAGATAAAATAAACGTAAATTGTTGAAGACCATTGTAATTCTTTTGCACAAAGGAATTGTGGATTTGTATAATCTACATCCAATTTAAGTATTCACGACTAACGATACATATATAATATACTTGTCATGTAGTAAACCGGGTTTATGTGTGTTATACTTACACGAACAAATATCTGACACAAGTAGTGACTGACTTCAACGAGACAGTTACTGGCTAAGGAGGGTGCCTGTAATATCGTTATCCAAAATTATTAGTTTTTATTACATAACCTTTCGTCTGATATGCTGGTATAAAATGTGATATAAATAAAATCATTAATCAAGGTTGAATTGCTATAGTACCGCATGTGCATCATATGTTACAGTATACAAAGATCTTGTTACAGATAGATACGGATATAGATAGATACAGATATAGATATATAGATAGATAGATAGATAGATAGATAGACAGCTAGATGGATGGATGGATAGATTGGTGAAATTTAAAGTCAATCATCTGAAGATTTCGAAAGGCTTCATTATATGGCATGTAATGTATAATTTGCATTGGAACAATTGATATCATTGTGGTGCTTTGTTAATTGTACGTTTTGTTTTCCATGTAGATCCTCTTTTTCAGACTACTCTGCTCATGTTTATATGTACTTTTTTGTTTACTGATAGATTTCTTTTTCCGACTTTTGTGTTCCCTGTTGTCTTTTACATTGATGTATTCGTGTCCTGTTTATAACTTGTGCAAGGTTTAGCTTAAAGTTGCATAACAGTTTTAGCATGAAAATTCGGGGTAAGTCCCAATTTACTTGGTGTTGGTTACGTAAAGTTTAACTGTTTCCATAATTGCATAACAGTTAGTGGTATCTTAATAGTTTTCAATCATTCTTGTGTGTTACCTGTATCGTTATACATCCATACAAAGGCATACCTATTGGTGTCGTTGAACTCTATTGCTCCTTTGGAATAAAATGCGGGATTCCACAAAAAGCTTCCAAGTGTCTGAATCTGAGTAGCCAGCATACCTTGTAAACTACCATATCTCACGTAACAAACCAGCTCTGTAACTTTATTGGGTGCAGGTTAGTCTTAGGCCACACCAATTTAATTTGTTGGTTCTCGGATTTTTTCAGAAAAAATATGAAGCGACAGGGCGAAAAAAAATAAAAATAAAAACAGGTCTAGGCATCCTATTATAGGCTTAAATGCTACAAAATGAGCCATGAAGTCATCACAAAAGGCTGGGTTAAAATTTAAACATTGAATTTTGAACTTTTAATCAAACCACTGCAATGATAGATGGGAAAACTGTAACAACTAGGAAGAAAAGGACTTTCCTCAACTGTTGGGGGCAAAATATGAGCATTATTCAGTTGATTCAGGACCAGAATCAATTTTTTTTTTTTTTGCAAATCAGAAAAAAACGAAGAGGCGAATCCGAGAACCAACAAATTAAATTGGTGTGGCCTTAGGTCCTAAAATAAAATCATTGGACTGAAAACCTGTCCTTTTCTGTGAGACGAAAGCGAGAACTAAAGGCTGGAAAAGCAGTGAGAATCTCACTGTCCTGCTGTATAGGAATTGTTGAATGAACTGTAGATTTTCAAAATGTGATAGCAGATTTTATATGTTTCCATATTTCGATACGTTTTATAGAAGTGACCCACGTTGTTGACTATTAACTATGACTTTTACAACTCTTCCAGTTTAAACAACGCGGAATCCGTTGGAAAGCAACATTTGTACCTGCTGTGCAACAACACCAGGCAGCACAATCAACTGAATTCAACTGATTTAAGACCAATTCCCACTAGGATAAAATTATCCAGATCCGGCTTCGATCCGGATCCGGCTTCGATCTTGCTTCGAGCTGAATCGAAGCCGGATCAAAGCGAATCAACTCGACTCAATCTGGACAATTTTGTCCTAGTGAGAATGGGGCCATAGACGTGCATAGATCACTCGGAGATCTTCAGTAGAATAGACGCCATAGATGAGATGGGACAAAAAAGGATAAGAAAACAGAATATACTTTACAAAATAGTAGAGTTTACGCAGAATGCAGATTCAGATGTGCTGTAGTAAAACCCAAATGTACCCATAACCATTGCTACCATGTAGTCAATACTTCAATGCACTAAATTCACAAAATTGGCAGGCAATAGTGACTTAAGCTATGTATCATAATTTAGGAAACTACTCGCTAACTTACGTACTATATCACTCTTTTATCTGAAAGCATAGTGATAAATGTGCATTATATACATTACAAATTGTATACCTTTGATTATAGTAAGGTTTCATCACCATTTAAAAGGCTACTGTCCTTGCGTCTAGCAGGGATCTATAGCTGAGCAGGGTACCGGTATACACTCTATATGGATGCCATGCACCAAGATAATTATAGGTACTGTAGTTAAATACAGAAGTGACAGGCTCTTCACTACGATAGCTGGGGGCTTACAGAATAAGGTATGTACATGCCAGTGAGTACTATCTATATATTATAAAGCTTTGATTAAGTATGCCATGTTGGTGACTCGTAACTACATAGATATGATATTGAAACGAATATCGTAAAAGTGTCTCTATTTGTATAGATACAGACAGCTACAGGTATACACAAATAGAGGGAAAGAAAGAAGCATGGATAGATAGATAGATAAATTGATTGATTGATTGATTGATTGATCAAGAAGACGTTTGTATTCCCTGTTGTATTTTACTTTGCTTTGTTGGTGCAAGGTTTAGTTTAAACTTACATATGAATAACTGGTGTTTTAATAGCGATTATCATAAATGTACACATATTGGCGTCGTTGAACTCTGTTGCTCCTTTGGAATAAAATGCAGGTTTCCACAAAAATTTGTCTGACTCTGAATACATTCTGCTCTATATCATCATCTTCATCATGCCTCCGGATTACACTAATCCGGTGAGGTACACTTGATCTGCTCTATATGCTACCATTTCTTAACGTAACACTACTAGTAAAGAATAAATTCCAGCCTATATGACGTCACGTCAATGGTAACTTGGAGAACATCGGAGACCGTCGGCTCGTGCCCGACAGGTGACGAGTACAAACCGAAGTTGGCCGAATGGGACCGATGATCTCCGACTGCCTTGCCGAACAACACAAATAATTAGTGCAACGCTCGCCTGGGGCCCAGTTTGTTCAATCATCTTTAACAACTCAAAACTATTGTTTTTACCACCCAAATCGCTTCCCTTTCCTAGATATTGGTTTGTTCCTTACTACGCTGATTATAAAAGATGCGAAGTATAAAAATTGATATAATTGTAGTTTGATTTGGGCCCACATTATGTGAACAACAGAAGCTGGCCTGACTTGTGAACCCTGGGGTCAGGGACGACCGGTTTTAGAGACGCTGTGTGTCACCACTTGTTACAGGCGCAAATTTAGACGTGTTAGAGTGTTGTGTTTATACAGAAATCGCTGACGCATGAAATTCCCAACTAGAGTTCCACGATCTCATACCTTCGCCAAATGATGTTAGCTTTTATGAATGAGAACTTATATACAATGTATTAATCCCCCTGATTATGCAAATAGGATCCGCAATTGCATGAATTATATCTGTTGATCATGATCTCCACCAAGTCTTATTTTAACAAAGAATGCCATTATAGCATTTCCTCATATATTATGCAAATGAGGTCCTTATTTGAATAAGTTATGTTAAATTATGTTTACCTTCACTAAACTTCAAACACCCCAAGTATAAAATTCCAGGCAGTTACCACTATGCAATTATAACATTTTCTCATCAATTATGCAAATTAAGTCTTCATTTGCATAATCGATATCTGCCTGTGTTTCTCTCGTTGTTAATAACATATGTCGCAAGCTTGAACTTCCTATCATGGAATGCAGTTGATAAATAGAATTTCCTCATTAATTATGCAAATTAGATCCATATTTGCATAATTGTAATATCATTATGTCAAGCATTACTCATGCTACCTACATACCAAAAATCATGATGATCCATCAAGCGGTTCTTGAGTTATCCTCCTTTAAACATTTGTCCCTTAAACCCCCCTGCAGTTCTAGAGCAAGCAACTAGGGGGCCCAAACTCACGTCACTTCTTCCCCAGCACAAGAGCTACCTGCCATCCAAATTTCGTCACCCTAGCATGTCTGGATCATGAGATATCAAAACCGGAAGTTCAGCTGCAGTACCATGACAAGCCGCCAGGGGGCCCAAAATCTAATCAGTTCGAGCTCTCATCAAGACCTACCCATCTACCAAATATCAAGATAATCCATCTAAGCTTTCTCGAGTTATGCTGTTGACAGACACACACACACACACACGGCCAGGAAAACATAACCTTCTCCAATTCTTGGCGAAGGTAAAAATACAAATTCAACGTTTTTATGGCCCATGATAAAGTTAATGTACGTTTAGGATCTACGATATTAACAAACACAGAAACAGATCAGTACAATCGGGGCCAGGAGACGTCAACGTTGCTGTGTTTCCATGTCTAATAACTTTTTCGGGGTGTTGATATTTTTTTGTCGAACAGATGCTGAAAGGATCACAAAACAGACACAGGCATAGTTCACTGTACCTGTAACATCACCTTTACTCTCCAAGCAGAGGTTTGCGTAGCCTGGTACCCAGTCTAACGTGATTGGGGGTATTGGGGTGTTCAGGCAGGTTGTGCCTTCGGGGGCTCTAATAGCTTCCCCCGACCAGTGCTAACAGGCCGTCCCGGTAGGAGTGTTACGCTAATCAGAGACAGTATGTTTGGGGATTTG